AATATTGGTGCTGTATATATGTGGTTGATGGTGTCTTTTACATTTAATTTTGCCTTATATTAGGACTTTTAACCTTTGATTTCTTAATTTGGTGCTTTAATCTTTGAGATAAATTTCTTTTGTTGTATTCTGACTGTCTCTTTTTTGAATACTGTTTTCATCTCTTTGGTTGTTGTGTTGGATACTTGTGAAGAACTACGGAGAAAAAAAGTGTTTGATTGTAGGTTCTCCTTTTATTTCGATTAACTGGAAAATTATTCAGCTAAAACATACCCTAGGTTCCTTTATCATGTCTTTTATTTTAAAGTGATTGGATTCCTTTATTAAGCGACTTTTTCTTTTCTTTTTGGTACAAGTGACTTTGATTTCAAAACCATGAAACCAATATCCTTTAGGAATTGCGGGTTGGGAGATGGGGGGTTTCTTTCATAATTTTAGTTGAATGAATAAATGATGCAAAAACGTGCAAGTAGTTTATCTTAGAGTTGTAAATAGATTAGTGTGGATCAAATCTCATATTTCCCCTAGTTATCTCTTCTGGTAACTGGAATTAAATCTCTTCTGTTCCATTCCCTGCGTTTCTTTGCAATATTTATTAGCCTTAGCTAAATGGTTGTTCACCTGTTCCGTTAAAATTTAGCATCAGATGTTTTAGAATGCATGGTCATTGCTTGATTTTTACTAGAATAATGATGAACTATGGTGTGAATGGTAAGCATCAAACATGGAAAAACAGAATTTGCAGATAACCTGTGGAAATTAAGAAACTAGAAAAAAAGGAGCTTAATCACAACTCTCTTTTTGGTGTCTTTTAATTATCCGTCAGAGGCAACTCAACCTTTCATTGGCCTAAATAACATGATTGGCAAGGGGAAGGGGGAGGCCTTTGCAAGCCAGATTGGTGCCAACCTATCTGCTCCAAGGCAAATCAGTGCCAATCTGTCTTGAAGCTGGCAGATTAGCGTCGATCTGCCCAGACCAGTGCCGGTTAATCCCTCCGCTTCCCCCTTCCTTTTGCACTCTTCTCATCCCTTTCCTCTTTCTCCCCCATTCTCTCTTTCTCTCTCTTTGATGGTTCTTTTATTTGAATTTTTTTCCCTTCTTCAGATTTTTATTTTTTAATTCCAAAATATTTATTTTAAAAGAAAATGACAAGGGTTTTTTTGGACACATGGTGTATGTTTATTGGTTATATTTGTCCATGTTAGACATTTGACTAATGAAATTGGTTAAATGTGCAAACTGATGGATGGAAGTGTAGTTCAGGTACTTAATTGTGAATTTTTTTTTTCAAGTAACAAGTTGACAGTTTCACTATAATTCGGCTACCAAATGTGTAATGAACCCTAATCAAATAGTTTCATATTAAGTTTTGTTGTAGAACATTGCATTTTTTTTCTTTACTTTGGTTAAAAGTGTAATGAATGCATTATCTTTGTAGTTTCTTTTTGGGACACTCATTGACATTAGCAAGTTCAAGATATGTCAAATTGTTAGTTGGTGGGTTTCTTTGACAAGTGGTGGAATAAGACAATAACAAGCAGTGACAAACATTTTTTGTTGATCAAATTTGGGCAGTTTGTATTTCACCTTTGGATCTAACTAAAGAGACAAATCGAGCTTGAGGTTGAATGGTATGACATTTGGTTAGGGGTATAGTAGGTTCATGTCTTTGCATGAATAAAACTTTCTTTGGAGCAAAATAGCTTAAAGGACTATGTTGTATCTGACATATCTGCACTTCGCTATTCATTTGTTATCAGTTATGTTTTGCATGATGCAACAGGTTTTCAAAAGCTTGGGCAAGAAAAGTAGATTTTTGTTTGAGCTGCTAATTTATTTGTGTGATGAAAAGAAACATGTAGCTCATTGTTGCATAGACTGCATTTTTTTTGGCCCTTTTCCTTAAATCAATTAAATTTTTGTATCATTTATGAGATTGCTGAAATATTACTGATTTATTCAAAATGAATTCACATTGCAGCATGGAAACTTTTATGAAGAGAAAATTGGTTCAGACAGAGGGTTGGATAATGTGTTGGGGAATCCAGTAGCACTTGAGTTCTTGTGAATGGTACTGCCTGTTGCTACAACAGGGAAAGGGAGTTCACCAGGTTTCTTCGATCAGGGAATGTGGATAACACTTGCTTCAAAATGTTACTGAAATATGTGGATATGGCTTCTTTGTCTAGTAGAAGTAGTGACTTGTCGAAGGATTTAACTGATCATGTGTATTGTATTCTTATTTGCGAGAAGAAATGGGAGGGTTGTTTCCCATTTCTTTCCTATACTCAATTTCTATTGGGTAAGTCCCTGTTTCTTTCTTCTTTGTGTTAGGGAATCATATTGCCGCAATATTTAATCTAAACTAAAGTGGGATAAAACAAGAATAATAAAAAAGGCGGGGGTGTGGGGGAGAAGAATTTGGATGGTATCTGGCATTGTTTTAGACAGAATGAAAAGCAGTTAAGTTGAACAGTATGTTGGTGTTCTTGGATGGCGAGGTATCCTAAGCAACAAATAGTAGTTTTGTGGCAGGTTCCTTCAACGATAAGGGTGGTTGGAGCCAGTGTGGCTTAATCAGGAACATGGATGAATGAATTCATTCTAGGCACTTACTAGTGATACGCTCGGTTGGCAGTTTCTTACCAAACCACCAGTGCCGCCGTCCATGTTATTCCATTCTATTTATATTCACCCATTACCCATTGAGGTTATCCTCGTGCTTTTGTAAACATCTGCAATTGTACAAGTGGCAATACTGTCAGGATTTGGAAGTGTGGTGGCGCATTCGTTTATAAACAATCAACCGCCTTTTAGCTTTATGCCCAAGTATTGGGTGCGTCATATTATAGTAAAGTGTCGACTGTTTATCCTGATAGCAGCGGTGGAGAATGGTGCGTAGGAAGTTGGGACCCGTTTATCTTTAGATTGGTTAATTTTCGTTGACCCTGACAGGCGTAGGCCGACGTCGCAGTGCACAGACTTTCCTGTCTGGAGTACCAAGTGTCCCAAATGTGGCAGCCTTGTCATGCGAATCTTGTCTACCGCGCCTCGTCCTCACCCTCGCCCACTCGTTTGCGCTGTTCGTATTATTTGCAGTGTCAGTTTTGAGAATCTTACGGGACAGGTGAGGTGCCTATTGAAGATTGCTTTGCTGCTGCTGTCTTACACGAAACTCCCCTTGACCTTTTGATCCTGACAGAGGTCAATGGTCAGCTCGAGTCAGCTTAACACATGAAAACAAACATCTGATCGTCGGTTAGTCAGGCAAGATATAGCACAGATAATTGGACATCGATCTTACCCAAGTCAAGGCAAGGGCAGAGTCGACGGAGAGTCACAACACAAGCACAATATTGTTATTTGTTCAATCATTTCTATAACTGCATTTAAAAGTGTATTGACAGGAACAAATCACAACCAAGAGAATCAAACCATTACATTAATTCCCCAGGACCAGGAGGAATACACAAAGCAATCGGAAGGGTAATCAAAGATGCAAAAACGAACGATGAGATCCTAAAACGAAATAATTAATACACAAAATCACAAGAGAAAATTCCACATGGACAGGTGAGAAAGGTCAAATTCTAAGTGGGTGTCTATCCAGTGTAGATGTGAACACCTATGGCGATGAGGAAGATGGTGATAAGTCCAAAGAAGATTATAGTGTGGACAAGAATCGATATCCCACTGGTTTGCATGTTCCCGAACTCCACCACTTTGCTCCTTCCTGGCAACTGAAACAACAACCCTGGACTTAACAGCACAAAAAGCACCACTGCTATCACCACCGGACCCCAATCCGCCATGCTTTTTCCAATCTTTCTCTACAACCAACTACTCTGTCCTGATGGTGAAGAAAGCAGAAGGCAAAACTTATATAGCTGATGAAGCTGAGAAAAGATGGAAGATTGAGCTGTCTTTGAAAGAAGAAAGCACGGAATAGGATGAGAGGAGAATCTGCAAAGAGCAAGAAATCAGGTTAAGGCAAAATATACATGCATGTCGACATCGTGCCTTCTGGACAGATGTCAGTGCAATAGCTACGTGGCAGCATTATGGATCGTCCGTCCCTTTCCAACGAAATATAGAATGAGAACCCTTTTTGGTTAGAACCGTGATTGTCATTTTCCTCCCCCCCTTTTTAATTTAATAGTCTTTTCTCTTTTTCCAGAAAATGGGAGAATTCCAGAATTGCCAGCAATATGCCAAGTGATTCGAATTGCGAGCAATTTCGTGATTGGTCCATCTTTCTTTCTTCCCATATTTCCTTTTGCAATAAAAATAAATCCTTGTATTATTGATTTTCCTGTTAACTAATTTCTGTCAGCGTACACGTGAACAATATTGCATGACATGACTTTTGACCTGAAAGCTACAGAATTAAGTAGATTCATTTGTGCTGAACCAATAACTTTTGACCTCAAACCTACAGAATTTACGAATAAGTCACAGGCATTCACTTCCTGTAATAGCATAATTGTTGCAGATGTGGACGAATTACAAAACCAGCTTTCAGCTTGGCTACCCAAGTTAAAAACAAATTCACCAATAAAATCCATAATGAAAATGCTATAAAGCATATTCATATCAAAAGCAATAACTTTAAAAACTTAAAATTAAATATTCAAATGAAACATTTTTTTATTAAAATAAAGATAAAAATTTATTAAAATTTTATTCTTCTACCTTTTTGAGGTGTAAAATTTTTAATTAAATTATTATATTATAAATTGAAAAAAAAAAGAGAATTGATTTTAAAGATCATTAAATATATATTATTGTTAATTGATTGAAAATAGAAGAAATAGTTGAGGATTAACAGTATTGTGGGAATTCGGTTCAATAACCTCAAAGGCCTAGAGGTAAATATTCAAATGAACATTTTTTGTTGAAATTAAGCAAAAAAGTTTGTTAAAATTTTATTCTTCTAACTTTTTGAGATGCATATTTTTTAATTAAATTTTTACATTATAAATTGAAAAAAAAAAGATAATTGATTTTATATATAAGAAAAAAAACTGTCGGAGATTATTAGATACATATTATGTTAATTGATTGGAAATAGGAGAAATAGTTGAGAATTAATTGCATTGTGAAAATTGAGAAGTGATAAAAAAACTGAGATTTATTAGTCATGTAATTAGGGAAATGAGAAAATTTTTCATTTTAGTAATTGTCTTGACTTGTATATATTTTTATGAGAAATGAGATACTTGTCACAGTCTTATGAGAAATTGTCTACTTTGGCCCACTAGTCTCACAGTTTTATTCCATAAAAGGCACTTCACAGGTTAAAGGTAGTGTAAACCCTTAAATACCTAATATTACTCTAGTATATAGTTAATGAGGAATTCATGGCTCCTCTATAGGACCATGACATCCTTCTTTAGCTCCCCTTTAAGAGATTTTCTTCGATGTGGGATCTATGGCTTACCCACTGGGAGCATATTTGTTCGATGTGAGATTCACATGGTTCCATGCTAGGACTGTGACATCTTATCCCATTTAAATAAGAGCCCACTATCCTCAGTGGCAAATCACTAGTACCTTTAGAGTTTGCAATAATCCATGTGATGCTTGGGTGGATGCTTTCACACAAGCCGGCTAAGAACTCAATTATATTTAAGTAAACACCAATGATAACCATGAGTTAGTTTACAAAAAAAAGCAATAGCAAAATCATAGGACATAACGAATACCATATATGCAACCGTTGGATTCACATAAAAGAAAAATGTTTTATTAATATTGAAAGTAAGTACAAAGGGATCGAGAGTACCAATGCACCATCATCAAGCCATTAAAGCAGCCTTAGATGGTTAGCTACAAACATACTTTTACTAGTCAAGCACCCTAACAATCTATCAACTGCTTAACCCCTATAAAGAGTTAACAAGCTTTCACCTTTATGCCATAAAAAACCGTTACAATGTGTGAGATGGGGACATTTTTCCCCTTAAGTGTCTTCCCTATAAAGACTTCAACAAGCTTTTATAAGAACATTACCAAGTACCATTACATTGTTTAAAATGAGGATATTTCCATTTAAGGCACAAAGGACTTAATCTCCTAGACAATTTTACCTCGTTATGGCCATATACAAAGGTTGGCTCATGACATCCTCCCCCACTCAATCTGTCAATGTCTTCATTGACTGGTTGGCTTAGAACTATTTGATTTTCTACTTGAAGGCATGAAGGTTAGCTTATTTCTTCCAAGTGATTTCATCTATTCCAAGACCTTCCCATTTATCGAAGTACTCCTTTGTTGGTCATCCAAAGACTAACATGGTCTTTTCTGCAAAAATCTCCTCTACTCAGCAATGTGATAGTGGCTTGGCACTGATGGCGGCTCTCGTGTCTTGACTTCTACTTGTATCTACTAGATCTGCATGGAATAGCTTCAAGTTGTTGATGTTAAACTCTTAGTGTACCTTCATTTACTTAGGTGGATCAATCTTGTAAAGTTCTTCCCAACCTTGGCAATGATTGTTACCAAGCCTTTATATTTTTGCAATAGTCATCAATCTCTCTTTCTTAAGAATCTGAATTGTTTTAAGGTACCATTTTCACTAACACAAGGTCATCCACCTTAAAGTGTTGCACTTTTCAACCTTTATTTTTTCATTTCTTCATGCAGTTAGAGGCTTTCTTTAAATATACTTAAGCAATCTCTGTATTTTATCTCCACTCTTTTGTAAAGTTAAAGGCTTGGGGGCTTTTGCTCTTCCCTTGATATGACTCCAAGGAGGTGTAGGGAAGTTTAGGTTGTTGTCTGACAACAACTTCGAAAGGAATTTTATTAGTGGAAGAGCTTTTCTATGAGTTGAAACATACTTGAGCCACATCTAGTAGAGTATGCCAATTTTTTTGGTTTGCTTGTACAAAATATCACAGATGTTCTTATTGTAATCTATTAAAGCATTCTGTTTGGTCATTTGTCTAAGGGTGATAACTAGAGGAGATGTTGGGTTCTAACCCTAGTAGTTTAAATAGTTTTCCTAAAAGAAACCAATAAACCTTGGATTTTTGTCATTGAGGATGCTTTATAGGACTTCTCAATATTTCACCACATGTTTAAAAATAATATGCGCTGTGTCTTTTACATAGCCAAACTTCTAAATTAAGATGAACATAGCATACGTCGAACAATGGATTATTACCACCAAAATCGATGCCATATCTCCAACTTTCGAAAGTCTTACTATAAAATCAAAGGAAGTGCTTTTCCAAGGTCTAGTCGATACTGGTAGAGGTTCTAGCATTCCTATAAACTTTTGTCTCTCTACTTTGTCTTATTGACAAATAAGGCATACC